CCCTACTGTCTGCCAGTGACTCAGTTATGCAATAGGTCTTGGTCCCTCCTTACAGGAGTTTCATGCCATATCATTAACTTACTCATGTTGCTGCTTGGTCGTCAGATTATTATATGCCAGCTTTGCAAGTTATATTTCTGGGTTTTCCAAGGCAAAGGATTTTTGGCTGTGGAAACAAAACATCAGCAAGATGATAAGGATTGAGCAAGAAAAATGTGTGCTTTGCATGATAAATGCTCATGCAGCCATGTCTTGTTGCCTTATAAAGATTTATCACTCAAGATCTGTCCGCTAAAGTTCGTATAAATAAACTTCTTGACATAAATAACTCCATTAAAACCAGGAGAATGGCATCATTGCAAAATTGCTGTAACTAGAATAAAAATCAAGTCCTCTCTATATTTTTATCTGTTTCTGTAAAGGGCACCCCAACTATGATCTCCATGTCTTACAAATATTGATCTTTTTCTCCTCACATAAGGAAAGTTCTTCTGGCTCCATTTCAAAGAACAGCATGACTGACAGAAAGAAAAAAGCTGAAGGCTAAGCAAAAAGTCTGTGACAGAACTGGGAATAGAAACTAAACCTTTTCTGCTTTGTTTTCAGCTTCTTTCACCAATGCAATAGGAATCTCTGAACTAAAATTTCATATGAACTCATAGTTTGCTAGATGAAAGCTGTATAAACAGAATCAAATAATCTTATTATTTTTTTTCTGTGTTATATCTCATAAGGAAATAAAGTTCTTTTATGACCGGGGTGTGATTCCATTTCTCATAACAGACATTTCACCTCAGATGATCACTTTCATCAGTTTGCAGAAAACAATATTTTCAGTTTTCTGCTTTGTCTGTACCTAATCTCCTAGCACTGAAAGAAAATGCATTTCCAACAGCACAAAAGCATTTAAGGCCTGATGTGAATTCCACTGAGTCAATCAGTCAGCATTTTAATGTTCAAGATAGGTAATCTCTCACTGAGAGCTCATCTCAGGTTGTACTGATATATTTTCCGTAAAGTTCCCAGATGAAGACATTGGAATTGACACTGCCAAGGCTTTTCAAAACTAGTTCTTATAAGTTTTTTTAAAATCACTAGGATAAAAGAGGGGCAAAAATAAGTAACAGTAGATAGACTGCAAGACCAAAATTTTG